TTGATAAAATGTGATAAAATATGTAGTATTTGACTTCTTGGGCACTGCTTTATTTCGTCATGATCAACTACCCTGGCTGACAATTAGGAGGGAAAAACATTTTCTATTTTGTTGCGTTTTCTTTTGTCAAAGAATTTACAGACAAGATCGATTACAAGATATGAGATATCAATTTGGATTGTGTTTAGTCAAGATATTCTACACAAGTTATCTTCATTATTACCACATACGTAAAATGTGCTAATATTTACTAAGAAGTAAGGCTACTTCATAAGTCAGTCGGCAATTACTGGTTATCTATATCTCATGGAAAAAAACAAAACAATAATCTGAATTTTATATTTGATATAAACGACTAATCAACTCACTCAACCACTGATTTTTAGTCCATATAGCTCACTAAAGAAAGCAATTATCACAAGTCTTGCTTCTAAATTTAACCTTCTAATATTTAACCATGCATGCGCACTGACATTATTCATTAATAGATGCTCATTTTGTCTTCGAAGGAGAAGTAATTAATAATACATTTACTGCTGCCGAGTTTTGTCCTCCGTAATTCTCAAGCTTGCATAAACTAGGTTTATTATAAATAGGGTTAAACTGTACTAACTTAAATTTTAATTTACGTCGAGATATAAATTTTAAGCTGATGTCATCACTTAACCCAAATAAATATGAAGTATATATAGAGTTTGACTCAATTACTTGTATATCCACACCTACCAACTAAAATTCTTTTGAGGAAAGAAGCAAGAAAACGGCTAATAGAAGTGGAATATCCACACGATTACCATATATTATGTTCACAATAGCTTTAAGATGGAAGAAATCCATTCTCTATTTGTTAGTGGATATTGACTGAACAAAAATATATATGTATTTTATTCAAGTGTAAATAGAAATTATACATGTCAATGCACATATTTAACATGAATCCTTAGAAAGTGAAACGCATGTTATTCACTCATTTTTATCAAACTTTATAAGACAGCAACTTTTGCCTAATTGTTTTGTGGACGAGAAGCAAACACTAAAGCAATTAATTTTGTTTTTCCATATCCATCATTCTGTTTTCAACCACCACCACAGAGCGGCTGCGTTTCTCTGCATCCCACTTCTTGCTGACTAAACCGCACTGAGCATATTTTAAAATCAAAATTATATGCACAATGTCCATTCTCTTGAAGCTTAATTTGCGAAATCATGTGTACACATAAAGTTAATTACCTACGTCACATTAGGAAAAGTTCATTGAATTTGGTAGATATAACATTCTTTAGGGTTTAAGGGTGAGAAGGTTCCTCGGGGCTGGCTTTAATATTATCATATTTGAATACCACCATAAGAAGAAATTCACATGTCCAGCAGGACCAGCACTACATTTAAATTTGGAATTTTGTTAAAATAAAGCGACACTTCTGAAACGACTCCGGATTCACGGTTGAGAGGGTTTCTCATGAATAGGTTAATTGAATTGATGGCTTTAATATTGTATTAGGCTTAGGCTATGCGCTTAATTTATTTTTTTCTTGTGTAATAAATAGTCCATAATCCATGTACTGAAACGATTGTTATATATATACATATATATAATACTTGTAACTCATGATATGTATATGTGTACATCAGGACATAAATAATACACGAATATGTTCATTGTCATAACTCATAAGAAATTATTTCATATCAGTGTGCGCCTTCATATGTTGATATTACAAGCAAAACAAATAGGAGTGTAGTGAATATTTATTTCTTAATTTCAGCATTTAAATTTTAAAAGAAAGACCCTAAAATTAAAGGAAAACGGTTCAACTCTGATGCAGTGCCAGTCATGAATATGTCATCATATTGCCAAGTTGGATTAACCATTTCTAGGCATTTAATAATTTTGATTAAGAATTTATGTTGTCTAGTAAGTTGTTTTGTTCATGAATTTATGTTGAGAGTGTTATTATTGAGCCCATTAAACTTCTTTCAAAACGCCAAATTAAATAAAATTCGGGAAGTGATTTTCAGACCGCATCTTATTTATCTTTACCCCATATCTTCTATTTTAGATAGTGGTATATTAGTATTTAGCAAAATTATAAAGGCCGAACGACTTGTGCATACCCAAGGTTTGCTATAACGACAAGTTGATACCTAAAAGGTTTTGAAACGACAAATAGGTACCTTCCGTCATGTTCTGTTAGTAATTTCTGTTTATTAATGGTAAAAAGACTAAAATGCCCCTAAAAGTTTGAATTTTAGTTTTTTATAAATTTAAAAATTTCTAAAAAACCCCCTAGGTTTACAAATTTAACTAAATACCCCAATATATAAAATTTTTATAAAATAACAAAAACACCCCCGCCACCCGCAGTGCCAGATTCTGGCCACCACCACCGGAATCTGGCCGGAAAGCTGCGTTACGATACAGACCCGTCGGATCTGTGTCGTAACGTGCCGATCTTGCCTTTTTCGGCCAGATTTGGGTGTCGAAGCAGCAGCCAGATCTGGCCTTTTCCGGCTAGATCAGCCCCGACTAGATCCGTGGCTGATCTAGCCGGAAAAGGCCAGATCTACAGCCAAATCTAGCCGTCGACGCCGCAGATGAAGTTTTGCGGCGTCGACGGCCAGATCTAGCCGTAGATCTGGCCTTTTCCGGCCAGATCAGCCACGGATCTGGCCGGAAAAAGCCAGATCGCCGCGTTACGACATAGATCCGACGGGTTGTGTCGTAATGCAACTTTCCGGCCAGATTCTGACGGTGGTGGCCAGAATCTGGCACTGCGGGTGGCGGGGGTGTTTTTGTTATTTTACAAAAATTTTATATATTGGGTTATTTAGTTAAATTTGTAAACCTATGGGGTTTTTTAGAAATTTTTAAATTTATAAAAAACTAAAATTCAAACTTTTAAGGGCATTTTAGTCTTTTCACTATTAATAAACAGAAATCATTAACAGAACATGACGGAAGGTATCTATTTGTCGTTTCAAAACCTTTTGGGTATGTGTAAGCCGTTCTCCCAATTATAAATCATGATTCTTAACTCCTATACATATCCTAGAACAGGGGCGGACCCACATAGGGTCACGTGGGGTCAAGTGACACTTGGGTTTTATTTTTTATTTTTTCAATTTTTTCAATTTTTTACTGTATAATTACAGTAAATTCAAAATTACAATAAATTAAATTAATTAAAAATTTTGACTTTCTCTAATAATATGTTTCCCCTTTTTTCCCAAATCCCAACTTTTTCTCTTACCCAGCGTGCCCCACTCTATCTCTCCTATCCGTATTTTTCTCTTCCCCAACCCCAATGTGCCCCACCACTCAATTGAAAAATCGTCACTATTTTCAAAATCTTCTTTAACAGTGGGTGCGTTTGGTTTATTATTTTGGATAGGATTTTGGGGATAGTATTGGATAATTGAATATGGAAGTATTACGAGGTAAAATTTAAAAATTTATAAAAAAAGCCCCCTAAGTTTGCTAATTTAATAAATATCCCCAACATGTAAAATGACAAAAATACCCCCACCACCTGCAGTGCCACATTCCGGCCACCACCGTTGGAATCTGGCCGAAAAATCGCGTTACGACACAGACCGGTCAAATCTATGTCGTAACGCGTCGTTATGGCCTTTTCCGGCCAGATCCACCACGGATATGACCGGAAAAGGCCAGATCTAAGGCCTGCCATGGCCGTCGACGGCCAAAAAATGCCAAAACGACAGCCATCTTTGGCCGTCGTTTTCGGTCAACGATGGCCAAGAGTTGTCAACGACGGCCATTTCTTTATCCGTCGTTCACGGCCAGATCTGGCCTTTTCCGAGCAGATCAGTGGTGGATCTGGCCGAAAAAGGCCAGATCGGTAAACTTCCAGCCATTTATGGTCATCAGGTAGGACGTTGTACAGATTCCGGCTACCACCGATGGTGGTTGCCAGAATCTGGCAAGTATGGGTCGCGGGGTTGTTTTTGATAATTTTTAAACTTTTTTTAGGGTGTATTTGATGAAATTAATAACCTTATGGGGTCTAAAAGTAATTAAAAAAATAGGGTAATTTTTCTGAAATAATGTGCTAAACATTATTCGGAGAATAGGATTGGGAATAGGGATAAAAATAATAAGCCAAACATGGCAACGAATATTTCTTGATTTCCTCTTTTTTTTTTTTTTTTTTTTTTTTTACTTGATTCAATTATTGAGTTTTGTTTAATTAATTTCATTTAAGTTCTCTAAAATGTCCTTTATAGTGTTGTGCTCATTGGTAATTTTGATTGGCTTTCACTATATTTATTCAAACACTTGTAGATTTTTTTTTTTTTTTCTCCATAAATGGTGAGGTTGTTGGCTTGTTGCTATAGTTTTGTGCTTGGTTGGCTGCTACTTTTTATCTTCTAAGTGTATTTTAATTTATTGAGCTGCCAAGCAAGAGCAAAAAATGGGCCGTTAACTTCTTGTTCTTGTGTCAAGAAGACAAGAACTCTGAATAAAGAAAAATTAATCTTACTATAAAAAAAATGATGAAGCAAAAAAAAAAAAAAAAAAAAAAGATTAAAGCTTTTAGAATTAAATTTCTTTTGTTATTTTGATTTATAACATTAGAATAAATTTATGTCATTCAAACTATTTGTAACTTCATATCATAAATATGAGATTAAACAATGATATACAATTGAAATTAAGGGGCTAATTAGTTGAATTTATGTATAGTTTACCGATAGGTTTAATGGCTTGAAGATCAAGCATTTTTGTAAAATACTATTGATTTTGAGCTCTTTTTTAATTTCTTACTGCAATTTAAGTTTATTTATTTAACTTTTATGTTTAAAATTATTATAAATGTTAGTTTAGTTTATATTGAGCATATAATTTATTTGTTGCATTTTTTTTATCAAGTAATAACATATTGTTGTTTTGAAATAATATAGAGAGATATTTCAAAAGGAAGTCAACAATAATCTCATCATCTCAACAAGAGGAAAATATTGATGATTTAAGAAAAAATATGGATGTTGATTTGCGAGATCTTCCCATGGATCCAGGTTTATGTCCCCGAATTTTAGATTATGATCCTAATATTCAAGATCAAATCCAAAAAGTATATTTGAAAAGGGGTCCTTGTCAACCTAAAGGCCATGAGTTTCCTTTTAGAGATTTTGGTGGATTTGTTGTTTCTTGGTTTGATGAATTTGACCAATGGTTGGAATATAGTATCGCGAAAGACGCAAAATTTTGTCTTTGTTGCTATCTTTTTAGGTTAGATGTTGATGGTAAAGGGGGTGGTGATCACTTTGTTGGTCAAGGGTTTTCAAATTGGACAAAGAAATAAAGATTGAATGTTCATGCTAGGAAAGCTGCTCATAACTAAGCTCGAAGAAAGTATAAATCATTATTGAATCAAGACTAACACATTTAGACATTTTTTGATAGACACTCTTCTAAAGCACAAATTGAGTTCCGAACTCGTTTAAATGCTACAGCTGACTGTGTTCGTTATCTTCTAAGACAAGGGCTCCCATTTCGTGGTCATGATGAATCCTATGATTCAAACAACCAAGGAAATTTTCTCGAGCTTCTACGATTTCTTGTTGATTATAATAAAGATGTCTATGTTGTTGCTTTCAAGAATGCTCCTGACAATCTCAAATTAACATCACCTAAGATTCAGAAATACATTGTAAGTGTGGCTACAAGTGAAATTGTAAATGCTATCATTAGAGATTTAGGAGATTCATTATTCTCTCTATAGATTGATGAATCTTGTGACAACTCTACAAAGGAACAAATGGCTATTGTCTTGCGTTATGTTAATAAGAATGGACTTATTGTTGAGTGTTTTGTAGGTGTTGAACACATTACCAATACTACAGCTCTCTCACTCAAGATGACGCTTGACAATTTTTTTCTAGGCATGGTTTGAGTTTTTCTTGACTGTGAGGACAAGGTTATGATGGAGCTAGTAATATGCAAAGAGAATTTAATGGTTTAAAGACACTGATTTTGAAAGAGAGTAGATGTGCTTATTATATTCATTGTTTTGCCCATCAACTCCAGGTGGCTCTTGTGGCTTTAGCAAAGAATCAAGATGATGTTAATGATCTCCTTAATATTGTGGCGATTATAGTTAATATTGCTGGTGATTCATCACAATGTTGCACTATTCTTAGAAATAAGCAAGCTAGTAAAGTTATTGAAGCTCTTTCTAATGGTGAACTTTCAAGTGGAAAGAGCCTCAATCAAGAGATAAATCTGAAACATGCCAATGATACGTGTTGGAGCTCGCATTATGGTACATTAACGAGCATAATCTTGCTGTTCTCATCCATTATCGATGTTCTTGAAATTGGGATAAAAGATGGGATAAACTCCAAGCAAAGATTTCGGGCAAGAAATATATGAAATTGATGCAATCATTTAATTTTGTGTTTAGTCTATTTATGATGAAAGATTTACTCAGTTTTACAAATGAACTTTCTCAAGCACTACAAAGAAAAGATCAATATATGGTAAATGCTATGAATTTGGTTGAAGCATGTAAGCAAGCTTTACAATTGATGAGGGATAGTGGATGAGAAAATTTACTTAGCAAAGTTTGTTCTTTTTGTGCCAAACATGACATTGACATTCCAAATATGGATGACAATTTTTTTATTCAAGGGCGACCACAACGGAAGACTAAAAGTATATAAACGTGCATCATTACCACATTGAAATATTTTATAGTGTCCTAGATATGCAACTTCAAGTGTAAACTAATCATTTTAATGAGGTAAACACTGAATTACTTATTTGTTTGGCATGCTTATATCCAAATGAAAATTTTGTTGCTTCTCATAAGCAAAAATTGATGCGTCTTGCTGAACTTTATCCAAAATATTTTTCTTACTTAGAACTCATGGCACTTGATTCTCAATTTGATATTTACATTTTGGATGTATGCTGTAATGTCAAATTTATAGAATTAAATGGGATTGGAGAACTTGCAAGAGTGATGGTTGAAACTAAGAAGGATAGAGTGTTTCCATTAGTTTGTCTGTTGATAAAATTAGCATTGATTTTACCGGTTGCCATTGCTAGTGTAGAGAGAGCATTTTCAACAATAAATGTTGTGAAGAATCGTTTGCGAAAAAGAATGAGTGATCAATGGTTGAATGATAGTTTAGTTGTGTATATAGAGAATGATGTATTTGATAGTATTGATAATGAAGTCATTATATAATATTTTCAAAAGATAAAATCTCGTCGAGGACAATTATAAATGTATTAGTTAATAAAAAATTTATTAATACAAATATTTGTGTTTATTTTTATTTTTATTTATGTTAATTGTTACTTTAACCTTTGATCCCCCTAAGTTTCATTCATGGGTCCGCCCTTGTCCAAAAAAGCATGTTTTTAGAAGGTTATCAACTCTAAAAACTAACATAAATATCTTGTAAGTTTTGTTATAAGTTAGTTTTCCATTTAAACAATATAACTTGTAACATATTTCCAAAATATAAAGCTTAGAAAGGAAAAAAAAAAAAATGAAGAACAAGAGAGAAACTAACAGAGAACTTTGCAAAAGAAGATCAAACAGTAATTTTGTTTGCTTTACGTATAGAATGATATGAGATTTGAAAATTAATTTCTGGAGAAACATTAAAAAAAAGTTTGATAACTTTTATGGGTTTTATTAATTTATTTGTGAAATTATGAATTCCGATTCACGTAAATTTCTTTTAATTTTTTTAAGACAATTATATTCTCACTTAAAGTAGACAATGAAGGCTAAAAGACAAAATGGTGGGGGCTAAAAATCATTTTCCATAAAACTATACAAATAATCATGTTACAAAATTAGCTTTACCTTCTTCTTCTCTTCTTAACTTTTTTCATGTTAGTTTCACACAAATCTATGGAGTTCCAAATAAAATTAGATACAAGTAGGGATGGGCATTTTCCCCGCCCTGAACAGGGTAGAGATTCCCTGAATCAATCGAGGAATGGAACGGGCCCAGACCCAATGGCATTCCCCAAACTCAGGGACAGAGATGGTCACGTCCCCAACCCGGTCCGGCCCGACCCGGCCTGAATATATATAAAATTTTGTGGATGATTAGTAAAATTATTTTTTCCTATTTTAATTCAAAAAGTATATTACTCGGTAGACCGAGAGACAAGAAGAAAAAATAAATTTTAAGGTTTTTTATTTTTTAAATAAGGAGAATCTAAAAAAAGTAAATTAATAATGAAGACTTAAAAATAAGTTAATTATAGATCTTGAAATCCATCAATAAAAATCTTTCATTATAAATTAAAATAAAGAGATAATCTTGTAATCATGGAATTAGAATCAATTATCAAGGTATTTTTAAATATTTGGGTGGCAAATTAAAATATATTATTTCCTAACATAAATTATATAAGTCATAAGTGAAGATGTATAAGTCAAAAGTTAAAACATATTTTTAATTGTTATATACTTATATCAATTATTAGATTCTAAACATGTACTCTATCATTATATATAATATATATTGATAATATGAAAATGTACAAATTTAGAGAAGTCATAGCCCAAATAAATAAATAAGTAAATAATTATATATAAAGAGAGAATTGTACAATAATGTTCTAATTTTGTTGATGACTATTGATAAGATTCCATACAAAAGAACATATATTTAATTTTTTTAAAGAAATGATATTTATGTTTTTGTGCTTCAATTTATGCATTTATATAATTACCTAATATATATGTAGATGTTAATATATATGTTATATATATTCTTGCAAATAAAAAATTTGGGTCCAAAAATAAATAAAGTAAATCTAAAATCATAATCATACAAATCTTTTCATAGTTAATAAAGAGTAAAAATACATTGCAATATTTTTAAAAGAAAAAGTTACACCAAAAAAATAATAAATTAACTATGAAATAATAAAAATCCCCAAATTCCCCGCGGGCGAGTTCGGGGATTCCCCCTAAATCTCCATTCGGGGAATGGGTCGGGTTTGAGGAATCCCCTTGGGGCCAAAGACAAGGGTCCTCGGCCCCGGCCCCAACCTAGCCCGTGCCCATTTCTAGATACAAGTATTATAAAAAAAAAAATAAAAAAAAATATTTCCAAAAACCAAATTAAAATTAAACTAACATCTAAAATAGTTAACCTTTCATTCAATTCACTTATTATATACCACCACATCGTTATTTCTAAAATTTACAAATAATCCCAATAACATGCTACAATTAAAGAACAAAAAAATGTATAAATTAAAATAGCTACCAATACTTTGAAGAAAAAATAACAATAAATTCATATATGTAGCAATTAAAAACTTACAATTTTGTATTGCTTATAATATGATATATTGTATTACAAATCTTCTTTTCCATTAAACTATCTTTTTGTCCTAAAAATAATTTGTATTGCATAGAAAGGAACTAGTGTTTATGAGATAATAATAGGTATCAAAAGTATTTGTAAATAATAGGAAATTAAAGTTATTTTAATAATTTAATATAGGGATGAATTTGTCATTATAAAATTTATTAAAAAATAGGATTTCCTTAATCTATTAGTATTATTGTTACCTATGTTGTTTTTGTGGTAAGTTACTACGGTTGTATCCCTGGACAACCTATTTTCCATGGACAACCTATTTTCCATTTGGTTGAAGGCTATTACTCAAGACACTTTAATGCAACTAAAAACATCTCCAATGATGTTCTTTATTTTAAAGAGTGAAATTTGACTCTCTAAATGTAGAGAGTTAAACTCATTCGTTATTTTATATTTAAAGAATAAAGAATCTGTGAGAGTCTTGTTTTTATGGATAACCTCTTTATAATGAAGAGTTTGAATCGTATAAAAAGTTCTTTAAGGATGCATTGGGTAAACATTGGATAGACAAGGGTTTATTCCGAAATTAGGTTGTGTATTTGGTCACAGACTCGTCCTCATTATTGGGCACATTGGGTCCTTTATAAATCCATTGGGTTTTAGGAATTGGGCTAGAGGCGGGCCTAGTCCGATAGTCGTGTCCCAACAGAAAAATCTTAACAGAAAGTATAATAGGAGGGAAACCAACAACGGCTTATCTTCAACTGAAACACTCTCCATACAATTTCTATGGCAATGTCAATCTCTTCTTCGAAATCCCACTTGAATAATGAAACCAAAACCAAAAATTTTGAATTACTCGAGAGAGAAATTGGAAACCAAGGCTTGAAAAAACAAATTCTCAAACGTGGAACTTCATGGCAGACTCCATTTCCAGGGGACGAAGTAGAAGGTTCTTAGTAAATCTCATTTACACTTTCCAATATTTATCTGTTTGGATGCCAAGTAAAAAGGAAACTGAGTTTCAACACCAAGAATCAATAATTATCTTCTTTTAACTAAGTTTTTGACTATTTTTTAAACCTTGAAGCTTGTCGATATTTAAGCCGAATATCAGGAGGATAACTGAAATTTGAGAATATCATTTAAATTATAATTGAAAGTTTGCTTTTCAGTTCATTTCAGTGGACACGTTGAGGGCGGGGCATGTTTGGATTCGAGTCGTGATAAAGAAACTCCCTTTCGTTTCAAATTAGGCCAAGGTAAGTGGGGAACTCCCCTTCATTTTGTGGTAATTAATTTACATTGCACATTCCTTATCCAATTTCTTTTCTAACACTCATTATGGAATTGAGAAATTACATATGAATTTATTATGTTTTTTTTTTTAAGTAAATGAATATATGAAGGTATTTGGAAAAATATGGTTTTATTTTCCACTTCCTTCAGAAATAAAATTAGAGATGAAATTTTTTAAAATTTAAGGCAGTTCTATTGCATTTCTTGTTGCCTGAAATGTTGCTATTTTGAATTTGAAATGTTTGTTTAACACTTGAATTTTAGATGAAGTTATTAAAGGATGGGATGAGGGAGTTGCAACTATGAAGAAGGGTGAAAGAGCAATCTTCATAATACCGCCAAGCTTAGCCTATGGGGAAGCCGGTTCTCCACCACTTATTCCTCCCAATTCAACAATGGTGTTTGATATTGAGCTGCTATCTTGGAGCACTATCAGAGACATAACGGGCGATGGTGGAATATTGAAGAAAATTATCAAGGAGGGTGAGGGATGGGCTACTCCCAGAGACAATGATGAAGTTTTCGGTAATAGCAACCGTGACTCTTTAGCATTTTTTTTTTTTTTTTTTTTTTTCTGACATTATTTGATGTGAATTTCGATGGTGTAAACGAACTAAACTAGTCCAAAGTTTGGGTAATTGATTTATCCATACAGCAGAAATTATGATACCATCGTCTATAATTACAAATTGAACTGGCCTGAGCACTAGCCTAGTTTATGAAACCTCACTGGGTTGATCAGTGAGGATATGAAGTAATGCTTCTACTTTC